CACCAGAAGTTCTATTAATGACAACTCACCTTTATCTGCTCTTGCCTCAATTGAAGGTTTTGTTTTTTACCCTTGTTTATCTCTAACAAACCAGCCATTCTATATTTCTTCTGAGAGAGCCAAATGAGAGGCCAACACTCTCAGCTCACTCCTACCAGCTCCCTATCGAGACCCCCACCCTCCAAACCCCACTAAGGGTCCCTCAGCACACCTGTCTTGCCGACAAATTTCAAACCATGCAAAATTAGGCACAAGTTAGGGACACCCGGTCCCTCAGGAGCCCCGCAGGTGCGAGGGAAAGCCCCTCCACATCCCCAGCCATGCCCCACAGCCCCCTTGCACCGCCCCACCGGCCTCCCACAGAATGGTTTAGGTTAGAAAAGACCTCTGAGGTCATGGACCCCAACCCACGAGTGAACACCACCATGGGAACCAGACAATGGCAGTAAGTGCCACGTCCAGTCTTTCCCTGAACATCTCCAGGGATGGTGACTCCACCACTTCCCTGGGCTGTCCACTCCAAGGTCTAATCACATCTTCTGTGGAGAAATCCCTCCTGATGTCCAGCCTAAACCTCCCCTGGCGCAGCCTGAGGCTGCGTCCTCCTGTCCTGGTTGCCTGGAGAAGGGGCGAACCCCCCCCGGACACACTCTCCTTCCGGGGGTTGCAGAGAGCGATAAGGTCTCTCCTGAGCCTCATTTTCTCCAGGCTAAACACCCCCAGCTCCCTCAGCCGATCCGCACAGTCCTTACCCTCCGAACCTTCACCAGCTCCGCTGCCTTCCCTGCCCCTCACGGCCGTCACTCCGCCCGCCGCGCAGCCCCGGTCCCACAGGCCGAGCCGAGACCCCCCCGCCGGCGGAGCGCGGGCAGCGGGGAGACCGCGGGAGCCGCCGCGGCAGCGCCCCGCGCTGACCCGCACACGACCGGGGTCGGCGGACAGCGCCGCGCTGGAGCGGGCGGCACTCACGGCCAAAGCGCGGCAGGCGGCGGGCTCCGAAGGGCTCCGGCTGCGAAGGACTCGGGCTCCCGAGGCGCGGCGAGGCAGGACGCGAGGCCGCTGCCGCCGCTTTCGTTTCCCCGCTCTGACGCGGCTCCGTCCCCGCCCCCGGCCCGCCCCTGGCGCGGGGCCTCGGCGGCCGCGGCGCGCGGCAGTGACGCACCGCCCCAAGGGCCGCGACGGCGGGCGGGCCCGGGCAGTCCCGGGCCGCGCTGGAACCCCGGGATTCCGTGGAACACGCTGCAGAGACTTAATAATTTGTGAATATACGGATATAAAAATGTTCATCGATCGTGTAGCGTAGCGGAAGGTGGGAGTGTTGTAGGCTGGAGCAGAGGAGGCTCAGGGATGACTTTATCGCTCTCTACAGCTCCCAGAAGGTCACAGCCTAGTGCGGATCGGCCTCTTCCCCCGGCCACCAGTGCCAGGACAAGAGGACACAACCTCAGGCTGCCCAGGGGAGGTTCAGGTTGGACAGCTGGAGGAATTCCTCTACAGAAAGGGTGATTCGACATTGGAATGTGCTACCCGGGGAGGCGGTGGAGTCACCATCCCTGGAGGTGCTCAAGGAATGTCTGGATGTGGCACTCAGTGCCACTGTCTAGTTCCCGTGGTGGCGTTCAGTCATGGGTTGGACTCGATGACCTCAGGTCTTTTCCAACCTGATCCTGGGAACCGTCTTGTAGTTTGCATTAAGCTCGAACCCTGAGGACACAGAGCTCAGCACACAAGCTGGAATGCTTAGTCTCACAAAACCAAAGCAAACACAGTAGTATCAAGAGACAGTAGGAACTTGGGAAGTGTAGTTCATGGTGTTGCAGTTACCGTAAACTGTGTGTCTAAATAGGTTGAGTTATGGCAGGATGGGATGATGAAGAGGAGAAAGTAAAACATTGACTAGTCAGAGCCTTTGTTAAAGAAAACCTGCACTTCACTTGGGGGAAGGGGGGCACAGCTGGATTATTGAATTGCCTGTTACATGTTCTGCAGTTAAATTTGACAGTTGTTGCTAAGGTTCTGTAGCAGGATGCTTGCCTGGAATGGGAAAAACAACTCAAAACAATGACTATGGGAAAAGCTGACCGTGGTAAATGAAGACGGTGTCATCATGATGCTTTTGATGCTCAGTAATGCTGAAACCAGTCTGACTCATCAGTCCTGAAATTAAACATCCTGATAGTGAGCTGAAGATGTGGTAGACCTGCTAAAATACCCAGAACCAGTAAGTGACACTACGGATAATTTATCCAAAGTTGCTGAGATGACACTGCTAGCCTGGAGACCTGATTGACAGTCAATAACTTCATACTATAAAAGCCCAGTCCCACATTTTAAGGGCAGGGTCTTCTAATATACCCTTTCTCAAAGTGTATGTGTGCATTTCTCAAAATGTATGTGTGCATTTCCCAGTGTGGACTGGGGATGCTGTTCAAGGCTATTCCTCATGACTGAGAAAAATAAATTAGTCCACAGTCATGGGTGAACCTTATCTCTACTGAATTGTGTTTTTTTCTTAGCTTTAATACAATTGCTTTAAAACAATTACTTCAATATTGCATCATAACACACTGTAAGAGCTGTTCTACCTCCTAAATTATTTAGTAAATTATTCTGATTAAGATCTTTTTGTCCAATCATTATTATAATAAATCATACATATTTATATATCTGGTTTGCCATCCTTAAATCCTCCAGGACCAAGTTGTATAAAGGTTCATTTACACCTATAAAATCCTATAGACATGAACCACTGATAGTCTGGGGCTAAGATTGGATCCAGCCATATCTATGCTCCTCTCTGAGAAGGATTTTGGAAAGCAAGGGGGCCTTGTCTGCACCTTGTGACTCAATGGGAAGGCTTCTGTAATAATTAAACTTTGTCTGAAGCTCCCACTCTGTCTGTGGCAGGCTCACATACACGTGGTATATTTTTCTTGCACAAGATTGTCAGATTGGTCTTGGACTCCACAGATCTGTACGAGGCAAACATCTCTCTGTAGTGATCCCCTTTTACTGGCACCCCTTCCCAACTCTTCCACTGATGCTGACAATGTATTGCTCTGTAAGTGTCTGATTATCACACTACCTGACAGCTGTCTTCCAAGGGAAACAGCAAGTCTTGAACCTGCCCTGCATCATCTGTCACCAGCTCAGTTATAACATGACAGCTGGAAGCACTTGATGCCATCCCAAGACAGGTAACAGTTCAGGGCATAATATCTCCAAGGGCACAGCCAAGTAGAAACAAGTAGACAACCAAGGAGAAGAAAGGACCCAGACCTTAGAGCAAAGGAGAGCACACTGCAGATACACAGGTCTGCTTTTGTCAGTGAAAAGCTTTTGTATGTGGACATTATTAATACTTAACCTCTCTCTGTGGACATTTACACACTGTGCACCTACCAGTAAGAGTGAAAATAATTTGGAATACACCACTTACATTCTTTGTGTTCTAGTGAAAAGAGGACACAATCAGAAACCAAAGCAAAGATTACCACTCTGTTACCAGGGGAAGTATTATCCTTCTCTGCAATATGCATAAACACCAACATAATAAAATAAATATGTATTTTGCAAAATGAAATGAGAAAAAAAGCACAGCAGTATGGAAGAGATACAGAGTCAAAGAATTCACAGTCCTACATAACCAGATTTCCTTCTACTCCTCTTCATTGGAAATGCCTGTTCCACATCAGCCTGTTTCATGAGCATATTGAGGAATGCTCTTCTCTTGCTCATTCTAGAAAGCATCTATTCAAAGAAAGAAACTCTCAAGAGCACATACAGAAAATGAACGTTAAAAGAGAAAGAAGAATACAGAAGATGTAATGTCTCCTGAAAAAAGAAACCTTACAGTAAAGTTTTAAGCAAGCTGCCTGGCCCACAGATCAGGCCTCCCCTGTTTGAATCCTACTGACCAAATTTGTCAGCACTACTCCCTTAGGACATCATTCATGCACCTTTTAAATGGGATCTTTCTTGGGGGAAGCAGGTAAGAGGTATGATTGTAGCTATTAAATTAGCATTAGGGTAGTCACAGTCTTGAAGGATTGGGCTGTCTTTGATCAGTTCCTGAATACAAATGTCTTTCAATTAACTTTACAATAGTCACACTGCATACAGCAATCAAAACATGAAGCAAAGTATTTAAATTACATAGTCTGTTTTCTAAAAAAAGCCTAAGACAACTAGAAGACATCTCAGTGGCTGCACCAAAGAAGACTAATGCAGAAATGGATTTATATTTTTGTTCTTAAACAAAATAAACATAGAACCAAAAAGGTATATACAAAGAGCCAAAGAAATATTACAGATGAGAAGGGCTTCCCCATCCTGTTCTCACAGTGTAAGAGTCCTTTCCATGTAACAGCTAAGTCAAAAGCATAAGTCACTAGAAAATGGAACTCAATAGACAAATACATGATAGGATGAGGCAAGACTTGATCAATCTCTTATGAACAAGTGATTTGGTATGAGAGTAGTACAACCCACAACTCAACAGTTATGTCTTGTAAACAATAAAAAGAAGTGCTTCATTCTGTATCTTGTGGTTGTCTATGGATGCTGCTTTCCTGCCCTGCCAACAGGACATTTCATTAATTTGGAGAGCAGCACACCTGAAGATAACAGAGGTTCCTCTCTTGGTGGTGATTATATGTTTTTAAAGTCATTACTAAAAATTTCTGGATGTGCTGCTTCCCAGTTCTAAAATCCTTTATGCAAAAGCCTGAAGAGGGAACAAACCAAAGACACTAAATGAAAAGAACACTAGCTAAAGACTTCTGAAGATTTAATCTCCTCTATCCCTATCTAATGGAGAATGGGCTACATAAACAGAGCAAGCTGATGGCCAGCAACTACCTTACAATGCACTTGCAGCCAACAGTGTCTGCATCCCACCCTTTATCACCTTCAATGCCAAAGGCCTGGGATGACTCTAGTTGCCATATGAAATTCAAGAGGAAAACCCACACTGGCACTTTTTCCTGCTGTACCTATCTCCTGCCTGCTCGTGGGGATGACCAAGTTCTCAAAAGGCTTGGGACATTCCCTCTGCTGCCTGAAATAAGGGATGCTGATGTAAACATGTAATTCGTTAAGGAAAGGGCAATGATTCAATACAAACTCTTTCATTACACTGAGCAGGTCACAAGCTAAAGTGGAAGTTTAGGATTTGTAATTCAATTAGACAGCATAATGGCAGTCTGTTCTCTCACAAACCCAATTTTGTTTTAGAGATCAAGCTTCTGTGCATTCATTTGGAAAACAAGATCCTTCTTCCAAATGCTGCTAATTTACAGCTCCAGCCTCTTCACAGGTCCTTCCAGGTGCCCAGTCCACTCCTCCAGCAGCAGTCAACCAAACACCATTAGGGTGGTTCGAGGCAGCACAGGGGCAATGAGTCTGCAGTAACAATGTTCAGATAACATAGTAGCTTTCACTATAGGAAGAATCCTCCTCAGAGTCCTCACTGTCACAACTGTTCATTGACGAGATGGAGTAGGTGGTAGAAGGGACACCGTTGTCACTGTCTGTGGCTGGCTTCACCATCACATTCTGTTTCTCTGCATTCAAAACACACAGAAACAAAAGTTAGCTGTGACCACTGTACCCACAAGTGCTAAATTACTACTTGTCTTTGAAAATATATTTTAGCTTCTCACGGTCAGTTTACAATAAATCTTTCAAGCTGCACGATATAGGCCTTTTTCATTTCAGTTTTCAGCAAAAAAAACCAAATGAATGGGAGTTATTTATTTGCTTGTTTTCTTAAGTGCTCAAAAGTGTTCTCTATGTCTTTTCCTATTAAGGTAACACAGGTGAGGAGGAGACATTCTCCACCCCTTCACAGGGACACAACAGGCAATGGAAGTGGCTATTTCAGTGTCTTGCCAGGTAAGAAAAGGAAAGAAAAAGCATGGTAAGGGGCTTTCAAATAGGTACTGATTGTTCAGGACATTTATAGCCTCATCAAAAGCTTCATCTATTTAAGACTGCAAGCTGTCCTTCTAGTGCTGGGGCTACTAAGACTCCTAGAAAGGTTTCTTGGAATGCCTTGACAGCTTCTCAAGTGCCACTTCCAATATCATTCTTCTTTTAATAGGTATTTCTTAGGAATTAATTTTAAATAGACAAATGGTTATCTTCGTTTCAATCAAAATGTTTCCATCACTGCACAAAAAGAGGCACAGAAACCATTTCACCTTCCAGCTGAAGTGTGTCACAGTAAATGTAAATTATTTCCTACTGGTAGCTATTTCTGAAGGTAGGCTAAGAACTCATTTGCTTTTTGTTTGAACAAGGATGAAGACCATTGGTGTAGCACACAATGGGCTGCACTGAAGGCACCACTTCAGCCAGTGCCCATCAGCCACCTGAGCAGACAGCTAGGAGCACTGTGGCACTCTGCAGATGCATGCATTGCACAGGGGCTGCCTCAGTTCCACAGAGGTAAAAGCAATCCTTGTAGCTGAGCCGGGCAGCCTCTCAGCAGTGCAGCCCTTCCTGAGGGAATCAGACAGAAAGGCTTACATAGGTTATCATTTCAGGCTTGAACCAGCACTGCTTAGAGATGTCATTCTATGTCACCATGGCACATCTATCAAAAGCACCTTTCTTTTGGTAAAAATACAATTTGATACACTGCAAAATTAAGGATCATGCACTCATCTCTATGAAGGGAAAACAAAACAATTACTTAAGAGAACACAGCAACAGAGATTTAAGGGGTAGCAGGAACAGACATCTACATTTCAGCACCTAGATACCAATGTCAAGTGCTCTACAAAGAAATTTAGAAGGAAGCAAACTAGAAATAACCCATACTGGGGTTATTAATAAAACAACCACCATGATGCACAGTATTTTAGCAACAACTAGGCAAGATGTTATGCCTGTAAGCCACAGTGGCTTTAATTCCACAAAAATAAACATGTCAGAGCAACTGTCAGTTCAGTCATACTTACATGATATACCAGTGTCTCTTTCAGAGATTTCCTACATAAATCTAGCACATAGAAAAGAATTCAGAGCTTCTTGTCAGGTCTGCTGAGTTTCTGTAATTATGTACTCTGCAGTTTAATCAAAAGTGCCTGGTAAATTTTTCAAGGACCATTCTATGTATTTTTGCTTTTATTAAGAGATCTCTTTGAAAGAGCATAACCTTTAGCATAGTTAAACTAAGTTTTCCTGCCAGACCATGGAATTCATACTGAAGTCTTTTTCCAAACTTTGTACTTATTTATTTTACTACGCAGTAAAGCTAGTTAGTAGACAGACCTCATTATTATTTTTTTAGTGTTTCTGCAGTATTCCCTGAGCATCTTCTTGGTATATAGGTGCCAAAGAAAGTTGTGCAAAACAGATGGAATAAGAGATTGTACTCATCGTGCCACATCCACCCACCTCTCACCTTTCCGCTCTCTGATAAGGCTCAGGCGATGCTCTTTCATTTCCACATCCAGTTTTTCTACCATCCTGTTAATGCAGTTGTCCAGCACCAGAGAGCGTGTCTGTGATTTGATCTCCTGCCTGCAGATAGGGCACTCCACTTTACGTTTTGTCCACTCATTGATGCAGTAGGAGCAGAAGCTGTGCGCACAGTTCAGAGTCACTGCCTGTGGAATTCAGCAGAAGGACATCAGTATAGGATAAATTATGGAAAAAATTCAGATACTGCAAAATAGCATCTTAATGTACTGAGAAACCAGAAATTAAAATTTCAGCTAGCTCTTAAGCCATTATAACAAGGCTAACACAACAGGTTTCCCATAGTAAAACAATAATGTAATGAAATTGACCTTATAGCAAAACATAAACAAAAATAACAGTCTACACGACAAGCATAGCCTATTACTTGTAGAATCAAATGAAAACAGGCCAATTTCTCAAAGAAAAAGTTTATCTGAACAATATAAACATCCCAGGACTTGACTGAATACTATACCTCCCTTCCTTTACTAACCTCTTCATACAGCTAAACCTCAAACAGTCCAACTCTAGTCAACTTAAAGCAAGGTCCACTACAAAATAATTTGTCCCCAAGCAGCTGTCAGCAGCAACTCAGGGAACCAGTTCAAAAACCTACACAAGTGCTCCAAACTTATGTGCATTTTAGGATTAAGCACTCTTGTCTATGCAGATAGAGACATTAAAGCTGAACTTGCTGTCAAGCAAAGAAGAGTCAGGGCAGACAGAATAGATCTCTGGATCAACTCTTTCCCATAAGAACTCACTGTGGGTCTGTTGGGACTGTTAAACAAGGTAAGTAAGGAAAAGGGCTTAAATATTGTGTTACTAGAGCTATGGAAAGCTTCTCAAGTCTCTTTTTACTGGCAAACCCATACAGGTTTAAACATACCTCGATAAAGTGCTCAGAACAGATTGTGCACTGCAACTCATTCTCCAACACATCATTCATCTGATTCAACACCTCTTCTTTTTGGGCTCTCACCTTCTCCTTCTCCTCCTGGTGGAAAAGTACATGTTGTTGTGTATCAACAAAGAACAAGGTTTTTCTCAACTGGCATGAGTGTGTGCAGGGGAAGAAAATCATATTGCAGATCTCCACATGTCAAGTGGAGTGGATATCTATCACATACCCAGATCTGTAATCTCTTTCCTCTTTGTAGTCTCAGCAGTATTGGGAATATTCCCACCCACTACAGAGAACTTGGAAGAGAGAACAGCTATTACCCAAAATTCCCTTCAGCCTAAAGGAACTACCAGCAGATCAATCTTTTCAGAATCTTTTTCAACCCGTTCCTAGCAAGAGTTTGGCTTTAATCAGTTTTTTTTTTGGTGTCTGATATAAAAAGCACAACACGCAACAGACTAAATACTTCAAATACTAAAAAAAAGGAAGGAATAAAGTTTAAAACATTTACTTGCATTTAACAACCTAATAATCTTTTTGTTTGCTTGTTAAGAGTTAAATTAGGCTGATTAGGCTAAGTACCTGCTCTATCTTCTAAAAATAACAGGAAAATTCTACTAACTGAAGCTATAGTTGAAACAGCAACAAATTTCCAAAGATTACATTAAAAAACAAAGCAAACTGCCAGTGGTGGACAATGTGATGACTTCCAAAAGTAAGACACAGGAAAGGATCTCCTTAATTATTTTCTACTCATCACTTTGTGTCAAGGGCAGGAAGAACTGTGGTTTATCTCATTCATTATTCAAATTCCACGTTAGTTCTATCCTACAATCCCTTCTGGAACTGCTGTCACAATGCACTTTTACTTGAATACACTTTAACTGAAAATGAAGCACCTCACTTTTCAAACACTTTTGGTTTGTCAGTGGATTTTTTTTCCTGTTATTTCTGGCTTGATTTTTTGACTGTTTGTTTTTCAAAGAAAGGGTGCAATGGGACCATTTCTCTTCCAAAATGCACTGTTCAGCTGCTATGGGCTTTCTTTATGATTGAGAAAGATCAAATAACAACTGTTTGACACCAATTTATGAAAAGGGCAAGGTGCCCCCTCTTCCAGTGTCAGCTGCCACCTCAAAACACGGAAATTATGCACTACAGGAGGCCAGGCAGAGCCAAGACAAATGTTAAAAAAACCATCTCCTCTGCTCATGCAGCATATCATGTTTCACTTATGAATAAAACTAAGAATGCAGTTATTCCTTACCTTGGTTTCTTCCAGTTCTTTATTCTTGGCTCGAATTATCTCCTCAAAATCTTTTTTATTACGATTCAGTTCTTCCATCAAAGCACGATGCTGTAACAACACCATTCCAGAAGTTATAAGAGTACCATTCTAAGCTACCCTATTAAAGATACATGGTCACAGTCATTTCTTCTATTCTCCTCCTAGAAGAGCAACACATATAAGTTGAGGTGTTAAGGCAGTTTATCCTTAACTTAAAATTGGAATGCACTGCCAGTTATTTATGACCTTCCCAGTGCCATCACACTTTGCATTCCCTCTTCCAGGTTATTCTTTCACTTCAGTTAGGTTTTTTCAGCCACCTAAGGCACAGTCCCTATCTTCTACCAAGAGGCCACAACATTTGGAAAGATTTAAATATCCGAGTTACACAGTTAGACCAAACCTAGACTCATAATCACTTGCCTCTTGCAGGACCTGGGCCAGCTGCTCCTTCAGATTCTCTTCCCCTTGTTGACATTTTTCTCCCTGGGTAAGAAGTGGGGGAAAAAAAAAAGACTTTAGGAACATAAGAGAGAAAATTAATACACTGCACACTTTCTTTAGAGGATATGCTTAAGGAAACAACACTGATTTTCAATAAACAGTGAGATGTTCCACTCTAGGGTTACATGTGTACAACAGAAATTAGAGCTATCACTTACTGTGATGAGTTAAAATGGATATATCATTTAGTTCCATATTTGGAATATCTCCACATTATTCTAACTCAAAAGGCACCAGCATATTCATAGAAGCAAAGAGATCAGCAACAGCCTAAAAGATGCAACTCTGTCTTTGAGTACATTCAAAGACTTCAGAGATACTTAAAGCTCCAGGTAAATGTCCCATTGTTTCTAAGGACACAACTCCAAACTTTCTGTACTTCTCATACTGGTATCTTGTCTTTAGCAATGGACTTTAAGGAAGTAACTAATAAATTATTAGACTCACTCCAAGATGAATCCTCACTTTCTTTAAACCTGATTTTGAGTGGTCTCGAGTTCAAACAGATTTTGGTCTGTTACCAAAAAAGCAACTTATCACATACACTTACTGCTTAAAGGTACTTACAGATTTCAAGAAAGGGTTTTTTGAAAGTAGGAAAATAATCTCGTTCCCCCCAGGGATTAAGGCATGCAGTATTTCATTGACTGTAAAAACAGTGCACTTGCCATGCAAACTGGGCTTTATTTCAGCCATATACTGAGAGAAATTCACACTTCAAGTAATTATTTTTCTACTTTCTATAAGCAAGAGAGATCAGGCCACGGCTTTCATTTTTTCATTTAAAAACATGCTTCTTTACCAACTGAAATGCTTTATTTTGCACCTTTTTCTGAATTCCCCATGCAGTCAAATCTCTTTTCTCTCTCCACTTTCTTTTGTATGTGCACTGTGATACGTGCTAAGTTAAATGCTTCCACGAAAACTTTAGTAGGGGTAAATCACACAAGCACTATTTTTGTTACTGTATAGTTCAAGGGCTATTTTGGATCAATGCCTTACACGAGGCATTCCATCAAAGTGAAGACACAGGTCAAAATTATTGCCACCACACCTCTAGCTTCTGCTGCTCTTTACAGAATGTCCTCTCCAGCTCTTCCACCTGCTGCTGCTGATGCTCCTGCTCCATGCAGAGTTGGTTCTGCAACTCCTGCAGCTCCTGTTCCATTACTAGGATCTCCTTCTGATCACATTTCCTGCGCTTCTGCTTGACATTTAGAACTGCAGTCTGCTTCTCCTGCACTTTGACCTTTAATTTCATTGTATCTTCTAGAGATTTCCTCAGCTTTTTCAAGCCAGTCCATGACTCTACAAGATCAGAGCCTTTCTGGTCCTGCTGGGGGACAGTCACAGCTTTGGAGTGAACAGGGCTACCATGCACTGGAGCACCGTCCCCCTCACTGGGCCCAGGAGAAGGCAGCTTGACATCCATCTTCTCTGTTAGCCGTCTGGCCTCTTCTGCCTGTCCCCATGATTTATCTAAAGGTTCATTGCCACAGCACATTCTGTCTCTTTTGCATCTGGAGTTTGAAGGGCCTTCTGATTCACATGTCTCCAATTCCTCCAAACTAAATTTACGTTTAGGTCTTGAACTCTTAGCTTTCCCCAGGTCACTTCTCTGGGCTAAAAAGGGTCTGATTTTCTCCCATTCTTCTTTAATTACTTCATACTCATATTCAGCAGTCTCTCTGTTTTCCAAAGGCACTCCCAACTCGATACGGTCTCCTTCAGCAATAGGATAGACTTTTGATGGATCCAGGCGCTGTTTATTAAGCCAAACTCCATTTAGACTCTGCCAATAAACACAGAACCACCAAAATTTAATATGTAGTTACAGCATCCTCTGAAAGTTATTTCTGGCAACTGTAAGTAAACACAGCCAACCTCTTCAGTGCTTCAATCAGAACAAGCCACCTCTTCAAATAAACCTTGTAATATTCAGTTGACAGGCTCAGTGTTGCATTTATTACAGTTACTGCACTGTATTATTTATTGCACATTATTCTTGCATTACAGATTTTGTGTACAAGCACCAAGAACAACATTCTGACATATGTGCTTGTGCAGAAGGAAAACAATGAACTCTGAGGGGAAAAACCTGCACAAAAGCTTCAGAAATAAGAACTAAATAATAAAAAGTCTCCACAATAGATCATTGTCAGTAACATAGAATACTACCGTAATTTTTCCTGACAATTAATGTTACCTGAAATTCCAGAAAAAAATGGGAAATAGAAAGAAGCATTGGCTATACTCCTTGCAGAAAACAAAGTTTTTCTTAAATACAAGGAGAGTGTAAAGAAGGAAAATGTTCTTCTAGAGATAATGTTCAAAGCACAAAAATGGTTTCAAAATTAGCTCAAGAAATAATTTTCAAAACCAGCAAAACTGGTCTATGCTCTGGATGAACTGCAGAAACACTAGGAACTGACATGTCTCAATTAGATTCAATGAAACAAGCTGACCAACTGGTCAACAGTGAAAACAGACAGGAAGTGTTAATAGTTAATCTATGGCAGATGTTTCCTATCATGCACTAGCATTAGGTTTTCAAGTTTATACATGTACTACAAGAGGGTTTTGTTCAAGAGCAGTGTAATTTTAATAGTAGCCACTCCATTCCTTTCTGACTAATATGCTGTCAACCCAAACATCCTTCAAATCTGCGTGATGTGTTGAACATTTTTGTTCTACCAGTGCTGTTTTAAACCAAATTATTCATTTTACTGTTTTCAGATCAAATGAGAAAGTGGAGATCACGATATAAAAAACAGATTACTGAAGTCAAAGTGAGACCCAGTTGAGGACTCTGACATCAACATTTTATCCTAATCAGCTGAGAAGAACTTTCAGGAGAAACTCATTTGAACACAACATGAAGCATGGTTTTTCTAACACTAGATTCTTGTTGAAGTTGATTACAATTAAAGCAATTCTGTCACTACAATAAGGAGTTGCACTTTATCTTTTCATTAGCACTACAAGAGTGTTATCCTTTTGAAAGGATAAAATCCTATGTCAAAATTCATGTAGGATATTTTTTTAAGAAAGTGACACCAAACAAGCTCACAGACTGCAAGGTGCCCTTGGCCAGGCCACACTGGTCTGAAAAATGCTAAACCAAGAGGTGGATCTACATACAGAAAGTAATCCAGTCTGCATCCCTACTGCAGCAGACTGAAGATTCCTGCTGGAAGTGCACAACAGGTAAAACTCGTTCCCATGGACCTTCTATCCCACTTATGCTATACCACAGCCTATTCACTGCTAGATCCAAAACAATGGATTCTATTCAATGAATCTCAGAGTACAAGGTCTTCAATTGGTCTCTGTACCTTGTTATCCTTGACAGTCCACTGTCCTTCTGCATTCTGCTGGAAGACACAGTGCTTACGAGAGATCATCAGGGGACAGGTTTTTGACACCAGCTGGTACGTGATATCTAATCCTCGGCCAATAGTCACCTAAAAATAAAGTAGTGTAGTTATTGCAATCAGTAATGACATGGTCATTTCAGGTTATGGCACTTCAATTTAAGTACAGCAAAACTCTCGATCAACATCTTATGGTTATTCCAAAAAGTTTGGCATAATATGATTCTTTTTCATTTAAATTTAAGAGTATATAGAAAATGGAAGCTTACAAAGTATTATCTTTCTCTCCCACTGAGGAAATTTTGATTTCTCTGAGGCACATTACAACCTTGGTTTTATGGAAATCTTCCTCAGCACCAAAGCTGCTCAAAGCCGCTCACAAACCATCTGTGTCCCACCTCAGTCATTATCTAACCATTTCTTCAAACTAGCACTATTGTGTGTGGATCTCAAGATTACTTCTTACCCTCTTCTTTTGCTAGTTGCATCTGTTCAACCATTTGTGAACAGGAAATATATAGGAAAAAAAATTGTCCGGAAAGCTGCCATCAAAAAAAGTGCACACTCAACATTGCCCTAAATACACAATACTTGTATAAATCACATTATCAATCTCATGGCTCAGAATCTAAGCTACAGATGCAGCTCATAAAGTAGTAGTAAAAGTGATCTAAGTAACTGGATTAGACTCTTAATGGTATCTTCTGGAAGAAAGGACATAATTTAATTGTACTATTGTACAGTATCTTATTAAAGCTCATCTAATTTCAGATTGCCATTTAAAGCACATCCCTGCTCTCCCTCCCTCTGCTGCCTCCTCTGCACACTTCTCTTAATTCATGTGTGCATTGCATTACCTGAGCAGTTCTCACCTTGAGTTTAGAGCAAGAACTCAGACCCCCATGTCATAACCAAAGGCAAGGAATCAAATTAAGATGACAAAAGCAAACTTAACCATGTTAGTGCCCACCTCTTACAGGTTTCATATATGTTTCTGTCAGCATGGATTGCGTATGTAAGAGGTACAGAGACTCAAATGGATAAAGACTCCCTTCTTCATGAGGATTCAAACATAAAACCAGCTTTGCATTTGTCCCTGCAGTGGCATCCTCAGGGCTCAGTCACACACATCTGCAGGACCTCACATACCAATATAAGTGACAGCAAGCAGGGTCAGTCACAAAACTCCCCCTTGATCAAGTTCCTTTGGCAAACAGGGGCCCAAGATGTCACCCCTCACCTGCTGGAGTTCAGTGCTGCTCACAGCAGTACTGGCAAATCACATCCCATCCCCACACATCCGCTGTGTCCTTTGGCACCAAAGTGGTCCCAGCACCAAGCCTGACAGGGTTCAAGAAGTGTTTGGACAACACCCTCAGGCATGTGGTGTGATTCTTAGGGCTGTCCTGGGCAGGGTCAGGAGCTGGACTCAATGATCCTTGTGAGTCCCTACCAACTCAGGATATTTTATGATTATAATTTAAATCTCCAGCAAAAGCAGTGTGTGCTCTGTGGCCTGGCACACCTACAGCACCAGAATGCCATCAGCCTCCCTGCTGTGAATGACAACGGCTGTGCAGACAATCAGAGCAGTAACATCCCAAACTGGATTCCCTGCACATTTATCAGTGCCCTGGCTGTAAGTTGTTACCTCCAGTCCTTCACCGAGGAGATCTGCACATCTCAGGGCTTCGAATCCATGATGGGAGAGTAACAACAGCACACATTTGGATGAGAGCTTTTTGCAGTGTGTGAGCACAAGGCCTTGGCAACAGCATCAGCCACACCATCCGATTTTGACCACCAGAACAGCAATCCTTTTACACTGCCCCAACGTGATCACATATCTTTGCCTGCTGGGTTTTAGGGAAGGGTACCAGGGCCCATTTTTCAACTAAAATCCACGATCGCTGAGAAAATGGCTATTCCTGTACCGCACCAAAACATAACCAATACAATTTAAACGCGACCTCGTTTACACCTGAATACCTAATGTCTTAGGACTGTTAACCTCGCCAAAAGCATCGCTTTGCTAATTACGCTACGGATTCCCTTCGTCCTCACTTACGTTACTGTCACACAAACAACTCTATCTAAATACGACAGAAGAATTTAAAGATATAAACAAGCGAAGGCTTGGCCAAGGCGACTACAGCGCCGGGGTCCGCCCTCCCCGACGGCGGGCGTTACCGGGGCTGAACGGCGCCCGCTCGGGCAGCCCGGCCGGGCGGCCGCTCCCAACGGCCCGGAACGGAGGCTGCTGCTTAAGCGGGACGAGGCGGCGCTTTTCCCTCCTGGGAAGCTCTGTAAGAAACCACGAGACCGCACCAAACTGCGCCCCGAGAGCCGTGCCCACCCGCCCGCTCCGAGGGCCGGAGCCCGGCGCGGCTCACCTGCGTGCCGGCCTCCAGCAGGAGCCAGTCGCCGCTGGCCCCGACTCGGCGGAGGCACCAGGCCAGGCAAGGCACCCCGCGCACCGCCATGGCGCCCGCCCGCCGCGACCGGCGGCAGCGATCGCTGCGGCGGCGGCGGGGACGGCGCTCGCCGGGGACGGGAGGGGCGGGGCGGGATGGGATGGGATGGGATGGCCGCCCCGACCGAGCCCGGGCTGTGACCGGGGCCCGCGCGTGCGCCGCGGCGACAGCGGCGCGATGCTTTCCCACCGTGCCGCGGTGCTTCTCCGCAGCCCCGCCGCGCTCCTCCGCGTCCCGCCTTCCCCTCGCACCGCCCCTTCCGGGCGCCCCGGCGCTGCCATCCGCCGTGGGGCACCATGGCTGCGGCCGCCCGGCTGCGGCGGCGGCTGCTGCTGGAGGTGCCGTGGCGCTGGCGCTGCAGCCCCCGCCGCGGCGGTGCCGCCTGCCCCTCGGCGGGGCAGATCCGCGCCGCCTTCCTGCGCTTCTTCGAGGAGCGCCACGGCCACCGCCGCCTGCCCTCGGCCCCCGTGCGGCCCCGCGGCGACCCGCGCCTCCTCTTCGTCAACGCGGGCATGAACCAGGTGCTCTCCCCGCTCCCCTCCTCCGGCTCACCGGCGCTCCGCCTCTCAGGGTGCCCCTGCCACGGAGATGTCCGGCGTTGCTTTGGGCTGCCCGCGCTGCTGTCCTCCCGGGCGCCTCTCGTAGTGCTGTGGCAGTCTCCCTCGCTGGCCATAGTTAAGAATCATGTGAACACAATCCTGTGCCGTGTGTTCTAGAACGAACTTGTTTAAGCGGGGAGGTTGAACCAGATGATCCACCGTGGTCCCTTCCAGCCCGGCCCGTTCGGTGTATCAGGAGCCCCAGGCGCAGGTCCCTGCGCTGGGTGGCATCTGTCCCCAGCGGGTGTCTCTCTTTTCCAGTTCAAGCCCATTTTCCTGGGCACGGTGCACCCCCGGAGCGAGCTGGCCCAGCACCGGCGCGTGGTGAACAGCCAGAAGTGTGTGCGTGCAGGAGGGAAGCACAACGACCTGGAGGATGTGGGCCGAGATACTTACCATCACACCTTCTTCGAGATGCTGGGGAACTGGTCCTTTGGGGATTACTTTAAGGTGAGGTGATGGGAGTGAACCCTTTCTAGGGGAAAACATAGCCTGCCTTTCAGAGCTGTGCTGTAGTGCCATAGGACTGTGTGCAGAAGGTGTTTTGGTAAGATCCAGATTAATTCCTGGGAGCTCCGTGGCCTGGAACGGCGGTGGTCAGCTCATGGTCTCTGTCGCTGAATGTGTCCTGCAGACTCTCGAAGCACTCAGCCTGCCAAAGTTGTGACCAACATGTAAAAATCAAAGTTTTCTGTGAGAATGCCAGTGTTGACCACTTAATATAGTGAAAAGAGCTTACCAGTTCATTTGATACTTAGTACTAGAAAGTTTGAAAAGGGAAGAAGAGTAAAGGATGCTAGGATTTTTAGGTTGCAAATACATTTTTTCTTTGGAAAGAAAACAATCCATGTAACTCTGCCAGTTAGTACATAGATGCACACCATGCTGAAGGTCTCACAACATTATAGGAATGTCAGTTTTCCACTGGCAGCAGTGAGCTGTCTCACTCTCCTGACCTTCATCCTGCTCTTTGCAATACACCTGAAAATTAGAAAGGGAGAGAAGCAGCTGAAATTAACCTCTTTGTTGTTCGACTCCCATTCTAAAGACCCTTCCTGAATTACTGTGCTTCATTTATGTTCCCCACCTGCTCAGGAGGAGGCATGTAGCATGGCCTGGGAGCTCTTGACAGAGGTCTATGAGATCCCCAGAGATCGTCTCTACGTCACCTACTTTGGGGGTGACCCCTCGCTGGGGCTGAGCGCAGATGAGGAGTGCAGGGACGTGTGGCTCCGCCTGGGGTGAGTGTGTCACTGAAGAGGCTCTGAGCAGCAGGTGCTGACATCTCACTTTCCACAGTTTGCATTTGTTCTTTAGTTGGTCAGCTGTAGGGGCCAGAGAGTGTGTTTTCAACCCATTTTGTTTCTGGTTTCTTTGGGCTGTTAAAAGTCAGCTGGGCTCTGAGCTCACTGGTCTCTTGAACTTTTGGTTCATTCTCAGACAGTGTCGGTAAGGGTGGGTATGTGCCTAAAACTGGCTGGTCTGGATGAAGTATGTACAGGATCTCCAGTGCTTTGCTTCCTCTCCATCATGAGAGTATGTTCTCTGAAAGCAAGCAATGGCTGCTTCAGTGAGAGGGTGCAGCCATTGCAGAGAGCGCTGCTGTGCTTTGGGAGCTTGTTCCAGCTGGATGTAGGCTTTGAACCCAAGGCAGCCAGCTCTGTGCCACTGATGCTGTTCGGGTCTTGCCTCTGCCCCAAGAGCAGGGTGCTCCACAGACCCAGTGGACAGCCTGTCTTGGTCATCAGGGGCCAGGCTGTGTTTGCCTGTCATTCTGGGCTGAGACTGGGGTCCTGTATGGTTTGGCTCACTTAATCTCACTAAGGAGAGTAATTCTGTAAGAACAGAAGGAAGCAGAGAAGCAGAGGAATTCTGATGTGTTTGCTTTTTGAGTCTGTAGTAGGAAGAAAGGATTCCTTTCTTCCAGCTTTCTCTGTGATCTAGGCTGCTGTGTGGTTTGTGTGTATGCCTCAGCACTGCCATCTCTGTTATTTGCCTTTCCAGGGTTCCTGCCAGTCACGTGCTTCCTTTCTCATTGAAGGATAACTTCTGGGAGATGGGAGACACAGGCCCCTGTGGTCCTTGTACAGAGATCCACTATGACCACGTGGGTGGTGGCAGAAATGCTGCAGCACTGGTGAACCAGGGCAGCCCCGATGTAGTGGAGATCTGGAACTTGGTTTTCATGCAGTACAGCAGGTACCCAGCATGTCATCTGAACTCCAGAGCCTTTCCACCTAGCCTGACTCCAAAATCAGGTGTATATTCTCAGACTTACCACTGTTTTCCAGAAGGTGGCAATACCAGGAGCAGGAGAGAAGCTATGGAGATTTGTCCAGCATGGCTCTTGGTCCCCTTTGCTTAATTTCCCTGTCTTCTTCAACCCTCACTGTCTATTCTCCCTTAATGCTGCATTCCAGAGATCTCTTGAGGTCTGCAGCAGCCTGGAGGAGGAGGCCTTTTTCCTTACATTGCAGCCTATCCTGACTATGTGATGGTCAGATCCTGACAGGGCCAAGGCATGCTGCTGTCACTCTTGTGCCTGAGCTTCCTTATGCTGGGTCACCCACTGTTTCCATCCCCTCTCACTTCCCCCACTCTCTTTGATTCACCTGTTCCTTATTTTTGCCCATGAACTGATCCTTGCTTCTGTTTTGCCTTTTATTTTTCCTGCCTGGTTGTCAGAGAGGTGGAGGGGAATCTCCTTCCCTTGCCGCAGCGCCACGTGGATACTGGAATGGGTCTGGAAAGGCTGGTGACAGTGCTGCAGAACAAACGTTCCAACTATGACACAGATCTCTTCACTCCCATCTTGGATGCCATTCACAAGGTGATGGTGCTTCTGCTCAGAGTCACAGCTCAACAAAAGCTCCTTGAACACAGACTGCTTGCTGGGTACTGAGCAGTATCTTGAGACAGGAGGTTATGTCCTGCCAGGTCCAATGCAATGTTCTAGAAAAAAGAGAGAATTCCAGATTGGAAATCCGCTGGGATATCAGCACTGCTGATTCATTTTTCCTTCAAAGTGTCTTATGTTCCACAGTGCCAGGGCATTGACTGACCTGTGTTAGGTACAGAAATCTTGTCTGTAGTGCTGTGGAAGGATTTAATGAATACATCTTAGGTGCACGAGGTTCAGAGGTGGTTGAAAAACAGCAAAGCTGGCTGTCTCTTGCATTGAAACTTCTTCTGCAGCCATTACTGTCTGCTGACTTGTCTCTCTACTTTCCCTTTTAGGGCTGCAGGGCACCCAGATACCAAGGTTTGGTTGGGAATGCTGATGTTGGGCATGTGAACATGGCCTACCGCGTGGTGGCAGATCACGTGCGCACCCTGTGCGTGTGCATCACTGATGGCATCTACCCAGGCTTCTCTGGAGCAGAGTAAGGACATAAGGAAATGGCAGGGGGTGGAGGAAGTTAGATCTAGGAAGCAATATGAACAGCCAGGGAAGAGGTTCTGGTGTGGGCCCCAGATAGGGAGTGCATGGGCTTTTGGGGAGATGGGAAGATGAGAGCCAGGAAGGGGTGCCAGTCTGCAGACTTCCCCTTGGATGGGTGTAGAGTGTTGGGAGCAGCTGGCCTGTGCTGATGAATCAGACCAATGAGCTGGGGGATGCTGGATGTGGCAGCTGGGCAGGGATGCTCACAAGGCTGCCTGAGGAATCCTGCTCTGTTTTCAGACTGGTGCTGCGTCGGATGCTGCGCAGGGCTGTGCGCTTTTGCTCTGAAGTTCTGCAGGCTCCTCCTGGGCTCCTGGCCTCCCTGGTGCCTACTGTAGTGGAAGTGCTGGTGAGTAAAACTTGTCTTGGGGACAAAGGGTCATCACACATCCTATTCAACCCCATGTCCATTTTTTGCACGCTGTCAGGAGTCAGTCTTGGATGGGAAAGAACTCCAGGAAGGTGTACCTGATGCTATGCATTCCAGTATTAAAAACCCCTAGTCCCCATATCACTTGTGATGGGAGGGAGGGGGCCTAGTGTCACCAATGGTACAATCAGCACAAGCATGTGTAAATGTATGCAAGTAACCTCTGTAATGTTTGTGACATGCTTTGAGATCCCCTGAGGAAGATTCTGAGGATGTTATCACTAACTGAGGCTCACTTCCACAGGGAGATGCTTATCCAGAGCTGACAAGGAATGCCAACCAGGTGAGCAATGTGGAATCTCCTTGTCTCATTATTTTTGTGAGGCACTGCTCTCAAGCCCAGAAATCATCCCGCCCTTGGGATTTAGCTGGAGGAGCTTGCATAGCCTCCTCCGCAGCCACGTTCTCGTGGGTGGACTGAGATGTTCTGGGCACAAGTATCTGTGGCAGATTTCCATATGGTCCACTAGGTCCTTACCAGGGACGGCATGTGCTGTGTAAGGCGACTGTTGCTCTAAAAAAGCTACAGTAGCTTTTTTGGTTGAGTGCAAGTACAGCCTGT